AAAACAAAACAAGCTTAATCATGAATCGCACCTAGTAAAATTTATCGGTAGATGAAGAACACACAAAAGTGAGAATTTGACACTCATCCAACAATCTTGCAAATAAAAGACTAAATTAAGCATTCATCTAAAAACTCATATTGAAACCACAATAGTAAGAATCACATGGGCTTTAAGGGTTGTAATGTGGCTTAGTTAACAAACAAGGGATAAGTCCTAAAGCTAATCGAAACAAAAACTTGCCTAAATCTAAGGGAGTGATCAATTCACAAATATTCAAGCAATAAAATTCCAATCAACTTCTTTCATAATCCCAAAATTTTACACGAAACCAAATACTTATTAACACAACATTATTCCATACTCTTTTTGTTTTTCTTTTTCAAAGCGCTTACAATTTTCTTTCTTTCTTTTTCTTTCTTTTTATTTTCTTTTTCAATTTTTTTTCTTTTTTTCACAACCTCATAGTAACACACACAAGAGCAAACAAACAATTTTCTCCCAAACTTGAATTCAACCAACATTAAAGTTAATACTCCCTAGTTTCTAAGGCAAGATAAAAATTCAACTAAAAATCATAGTTGAGGATTCAAGAAAACAAAGAATCAACATTCATTCAAAAAGAAAAACTAAACACTCATAGGCAAACATTAAGTTCAAAAACAACATGGACATTGACAAAAAGGCTCAACAGGGGATACTAATGATCATCACACACTCACATGGTGAATTGACTATTTGGCCAAGGTAGTTGTGCTCAAAATAAAACAAAATGTCATGATCCTTTTCATAATTTCATACAATCAACACAAATGAAAGATTAAACATAATAAAATCCAGTTAAAACAAGAATTGTAACCTCCAACATATATGAACAATGGAAAGCTTCCTCGCATTTGGGGGTAAAAAGAGAACTAAAGTGATTCAATAAAAAACAAGTAATGCAAAAAGAATGAATGGCATGGTAGTTATACAAATGAAAACTTTCCTAAACATGTTATGCTATAGAAAATGATAAACGAGTACCTGACGTGTACCAACTTTGAAAACTATCATTACCATACATTTGCAAGTTAAATAAATCAAAATTGGAAAATCACCTCAATATTCCTCAAGTTATCGGACTAAAATTAAGTCCAAATAACAACAAAAGAATTGGAAAACAGAATTACACACGTACAAATTTTCTCAAGTTAATAAAAGAAAGCTCTTGGAAGTTTAAACAAGTTGAAAAGTGAAGATTTAAGATTTTAGAACAAGTCTAATTTCAACTTGTTTAAACAACAATCAACACACTACCTAAACTAACAAAATGAAAAACAATAAAACATGCTTGTTTTACGTCGTAAGCTCGACGCCTGATATTTACAAACTAGCATGTTGCTTCGGACGAGCCAAATGTTCCACTCCCGCCTTTGCTCTCATCTCTTCGAGCTCTAACCAGAACTACACATCTAACCAAACTTTTGGGAAACGTGAAAAGAAACAAATATATACACTATATTCACAAGTATGTAAAACATGTAAAATTCACAAGTATGGTAAACATACATAGTGTCAATATAAACAAGTTTCTATTTACACATTACATACAATACAAACATTATGTGCAATACTCACAAACTAAGAAACTATCGCATTGCGATTCAATAAAAACACCAATCCCTAACAACAACGCTATTTTGCTGAAGTGGTAAAGCAGCAAGCAAAAGTAAGTATTTTTTTTTACCATATCGTCTCCACAAGGATTAGTGCTACTGAATTTTCGTTCGACAATTTCTCACATTTATGAGTTTGGGATTGAATGGGTTTAAAGTGTAGGGTAAGGGCAAAATTTATCAACAAAAAATAAATACATTCAATGGAAAGGACAAACCTATCAAGCATGAATTTACACTACTCCTCACAAACATAAACATATTGATCAGTTGCACTCAATCTACTCTACTCGTTAAAATCAGCACGGACACCACGAGATGTACCCACAACAAAGATTATGTCTAACACCAAGTCGTGAGACCAACCGTATTACTCCATCGGCAATGTCTTGCGCGCTACAACAACACAAAGGCATTAAGCTTTAGCACCTAAAGTGAATATTATCTCTAAAGCTATCTCTAGAATTTAGAAACTAATAGATATTCATCCCTAATCAAGATTTGTGAGGTATATGTCTATAACAACCCAAATCCAAACATAAAACATAAATATCAAAGAAGACATCGAGATTGATTTGTAAAGAAAACTTTATACAACACCATGATCAACAAATATACTTATGTTCAAAGTAAATATACAAACATAAGCAACAAATAGAGAAATATATAGAATAGAAATAGAGAAAAACCAAACATCTCACGGATTGTCAGCGTCGATTGATGAGAAATCTGACTCTGGATCGTCAAGATGCAAGCTCCAATGTTATTTTCTAGCTTTTCTAGACCAAAAAATTGAGGTTTGATGAATTGGAACCAAAAATACCCAACCATAACCTAAAAAATGTGTTTTTCACCTAAATATGCATTTCTGTCAGACCCACATTGCCCGACGACCAAAAACCATCGCCTGACGCTCAAAACTATATTTTTTCCACGCTTCTGGTCGCCCCAGAATCACTCAGTGAGCTCGGGGAAACAACTGACAGTAAGTTGAAAAACCAGCATAATTTCACCATAAATTGAGAACCGTAACTCCGATTCTCCCATGATCAGAAGTGTTGGAAAGCTTATTTAATATTTTATCTAACAATGCCTAAATATCAATGCTTGAATACCCACAAAAATGAGTTAAAATATATTAAACTCAATGATATTTACACGATAACACAATATATACACTATAACGTAAACTATACCAAATATACACTAAAGTTTAGGTTTATTGACAAAAAGCAATTAAAATATATTGACGAGTGCTAATTATTCACACTAAAATTCACAACAATTAGCACTCATCATTCATCCACTCTCATGCTACTGATGTCTTGGGCTTCTTCTATGACTGCCACCTTCATGTCAAATCTCTTAGGTAGAGACATGAAATTTTTTCTAACCAGCTTTTCTTCTGACATCCTTTCCCCCAAGGCACTATATGAGTTTTCTATTTCAAGAATATTCGTGTGAAAATCATGAATGCTCTCATCATATTTCATCTTCAGATTCTTAAATTTGGTAGTGAGAAGCTGAAGTCTAGACATCTTCACTTTAGATGTGCCTTCATGAGGGATTCTGAGAATTTGCCAAGCATATTTGGCCACAATATATGTGTTTATTAACTTGAATATGTTTTTGTCAACTCTATTGAATAGTGCATTCAAAGTTTTGGAATTTCCAAAAGCAAGTTCATCTTCATCTTTAGACCAGTCCTCTTATGATTTTAAAGTCTCCTCCTCATCCTTATCTTTCACAATAGGATGGTCCCAAGTCCCAACCCTTTATAGCTTTCTAAGTTTTGCTATCCAGAGATTTTAGAAAAGCCATTATTTGAGCCTTTCAATAGTCATAGTTGATGTTATCTAAGAGTGATGGTTTGTTATTTAATTCTCATACCTTTTCCATGGTACCAGAAACTATCTTCCCTGGAGCTCACCCAAAACAAAACATGGTGATTACTCTGATGCCAATTGAAATTCTGACACACAGATATCTGATGTCGAACTAGATGTTACGATACTGATATCAAATCAGTCATAATAACAACAACAATTATGCAAGTAAAATTAATTGTTAGAAGTAAATAACACAAGTAATTATTAGCCCAGTTCGGTACAACGTCACCTATATTTGAGGGTTTCTAAGCTAGGGAGGAAGTTCACTATAACAGTATTAGTTTGAAGGTTTAAACAACTCTTGATTTACAAACTTCTTACCTAATCATTACCCATGATATTTCCATCTAAGACACTCCTAGATATGAGACCCCTTTCTCTTCCCTTCAGTCACAAACAAGTGACAAACTAACAATGATAGGCAAAAGATAGAAGACACTATTAAAAAACAAACAACCAGTTCTGCTTAAAAAGCTTATGACTGATGAACAAAGATAACTTGACACACAATCCACTCTTGCTTAAAATATTATGAGTGATTGACAAATTACAACTCAAACTCAGCCCAACTCTAATATCAAAGTGATACGAGAGTGAATCACAATGAACAATGAACAAACTAAAAACCCTAAACCCTTATTTCATGCACACAGCTTCTCCAAGTGTTTTTAGGTTTAGAAAGTCCTTATAAAAGACTTTTACAAGCATGTGCTTAGACTCTTCACGATATCCAATATTTCAATTGCAAATCTTCAACAAAATCTTCTCTACAAAAATAGAAACAAAAATATAAAGTTTCCTAAAGAGTTTCCGAGATCCTTTTTATGAAACAAAATCAATTATGCTATAGAACCAATGTTCCTAATATAACCTTCTTTGTGTGAAACAATATGAGAGCTAAAACCAAATAGAATCTCATATTTTAAAATCAAATCTTCCAAAAAGTAAAACCTAAAAATGCACAGATATTCTGGTATAACATGTTACGACATCTGTCACAACATCTGTTTACAGTGATGTCTGACCAACATGTCAAGACATTTGTCCCAACATCTCGATAAAATACATGTTTTAACAAAAATATCACCAATCATAAAATCACATACTTAACAAATAATAAAGAGATTTGATAATGTCATTAACTTTATAGCCATTTGTTTAGAAAACAAATTCTATATTAATTCAAATAATTAAAATTTATATACAACAACAAATTTACCATTAATTCTAATATATTTATAAATAATATCAAAACTAAGCTATTTTTTAATTATTTATATTATTAATATTTTAATTTTATAAATGATCCAAATATTTTTATAAATAAAAATTTGTGTAATACACCCCTTGCGAGATACCCATTTCACTTTACATCTCCTTCTACCTCCTTGGCTCCAGAAAACACTGATATAAAAAATCGAATCAGAAAGAACAAAGAAGCCTTTCAGATGTGATGTCAAAGGAATCAGAAGACAGATGCGAGAGACTACAGCGAGCGTTATTGGAGTGCCACCGTCGTGTGCCGTCCGGCACGGGTCAAAACTTCGCCTGCCGTCATCTTAACAACGCCTTCGCTATCTGTGTTGTTTCTCTCGCGTGCCCCGAGGAATCCGAGGCTGTGAGGAATCTCTGCTCCAGCGCAGGCACCGCTCTTAAGCGGCGGCAATGTCAACAAGCTCAGATTTCTCTCTCCGTTTGTCTTGATTCTCGTTCGAATTCGTAACCCTAATTGTAGCCCCAAATTGTTGTGAATTGCTAACAGGCCCTTATTTGTTTAATTAAGAATTTAATTTGGAGTTATGTTCAGCCTCAGGGTTTGTAATTGTACCTGTGAGTGAATACAGAATGATAAATTCTTAGAAAATGTTTTGAAGTTTCTAAGAATAGTCTTTTCTATAGGAATTGAAGTTTCTTGTTTCTATCAATCTTTTGAAGAACAACTTCAACTCTTATAAGCAGAATTTTGTGAAAATTGCAGCAAGTGTGAAGATTGAAGATTCTTAAAGGATGAAGGTTGTGTAATAAAGATCAAGTTGGTGATCAAGATTTGTAGTTGAGATAGTTGCGTTACAGACAAAGGATAATCAAGAAAGAAGATAAGATTATCTAGGATTAGACAATTTATCTAACTTATATTTTGTTATTATTGTTGTAATCAAACTCTGTACCAAAACCAAATCTAATAGAAGAACAATTTTCAATGATTTATCATTGTAGATTGAATTAGATGCATGTGAGGACGAAACAAGTATAAATTTTGGCGTCTCTCTAATTTATTGGGTAGATTTTACATGTTGTAGAATTTCTTGGTTTAATTAATTTGCATGTTCTAGGATTTTGTGTGTTCATATTGCTTAATTTGTAGAAGTTAGACCTGATTAAATCATGTTTTCTAAGTGATCTTTTTGCTGATTAAGTTGTGGAGTCGTAATATTAGATTGTAAACTTGATTAATCTAATAGGATTCAAATCTCTTTATCTCTGAGTTGTAGTAGATTAATACACATATTGTTTTCATATTGTCTCTATCCTTGTTGTGTTTGATTCATTTCATACAACACTTCATATTGTTTAAATTCATTTTTAAAACTATTTTCACCAATGAAGCTTCCAAAAAGTAACTATAATTTTGAAAATTAAGCAAAAGAAATTTGTCTATTCAACCCCATTTCTAAACTTTGAATCCTATATTTATCTAATATTTGGCATAAAGAGATGGTATTTTGATAAAGTATAGTTGTTGGGTGAGAATATGGACATAAATATGTGTAGAAGGGATGTTGAATAGACATATCTCCGAATAGACAATTTTAAATAAATTTTAGGTCCCATAAAATGAAATCAGAGATTTAAAAATACGCTGAAACACAACAAAACACTAAGAGAGCTTGAAATGGATCCAAGAAAAATATTACAAGACATTGCTAAAGACATGATTCTTTCTAATGCAAGTCAATTACAAGATAACCAAAACAACTTTAAACAAAGCGATTTACAAACACTTTACGTAGAAATTCATTCAAGACATAATTAGATTTATAATGATTCAATATGTTTGAGACATCACAGACCTAAGCTTACACATTAAATCACTATAAGTAAGATTTAATCTAAACAACATACAAACGATAGAATAATATAATAATGCAATAACTATAGTAATGAATGTAGAAAATTAAAAGAGATAAGGGAAGAAAGAAAAGATACACACAGATATATAGTGCTTCAACATTCATCATTGTTTTGCCTACTCCACTCTTTATTGGTGTTAAAACCATTGAGAAATAATCATGATCTTCCACTATTTGATAAGTTTGATACAAGCATTTTGATTACAACGAAATATCACACAATAATTTCCTCTATTTATTAAGATACTCAAATTGCTAACAAACATAAGATCCTCAATGATCTTGATCCAATAACCTTGTTATCTACAATAACCTGCTAAAAGTCTTCGTATGTGACGATCCACCTTGATTCTACTGATTTCTTGTCTGAGCAATTTCCATTAGCTAAGCATTGATCGAATAACTACCAAACTTGTCTACGAACAGTCTTTACACAACTTCACCAAAGTTGAACACCTTTCAACTTCGTCTTACAAACAGCCTGTACCCAACCCCGCCAAAGTCATCAATAGAGTATAGTAAAACTCTCCTCTCGATGAATAACATATAGTCCAAAACACATTCAATAAACAATCTCTACACCTGTTACAAATAGAAAACTTCACACAAAAACATTAGATATCCTAATGTATCACTAGTCTCCCTCAAATAGTCAATCTTTAGAGATGAAGGTCCACAATAAAGGATAAGGACTAAGGTTAAATGATGAATAATGCTAAAAGAATCTCACACACACTGTAATTCATAGGACATTAGATATAGATGAATGGAGAACACACAAAAAGATTCTTTAAGTTTTTGGACAAACTGAGTCTTAGATCTTAATGGTTATCATGAGATTGATCAAGCTTAAATCATTACAAGATTGATCAACTCACAAATAACAAATTACACACACAAGATGTAACAAAAAGAAATACAATCGGACATGAATTAACACTCAAAAATGTATTTTTAAACAAGAGAAATAAAACAAGGTGCCAAGAATAGGCACACTATAGAAGAAAAAGACAAATTGACATTTTTGTCTTAGGGTTTAACTTAAGCTTTCATCATGTAAAAGAATCACAATTAGAGTTGCTTCTTCATGACTCATGTCTCAAAACACACCTGTGTTTTTGTTTACAGTGATTTCTAGTAAACAACCGCCAGTCTTCCAATTTTATTAATTATTATTGGTTACTTGCAGGATCGACTAGATTGATCCTAGAACACATGTGTCATAACTCATTTCTATGTTCATACCCATTATCTTGATAAACTTATATTGTGTGTTAAGTTCGAATATGAGATTCTTAGGAAAGATTTCTAGAATTGTCTATAGGAATAAACTAACTGAATGTAGGAAAGAAAGGCTTCGAATTAGACTTGGGATTTAATGCTTGGATGTAAAGATAAGTGTTTGAATAAAAGGATAAAATGAAAGTAAAGTTTCTAACGAAGTAACTGTGTTTAAAGGAAAGTAAAACAAGAAAATGCAAGGAAATCGAAGGATTTAAGATCAGAAATACTGTAATAGCGAACTAAATATAACAAGACTTGTATTGAAATTGTAAAAAAGTGATGATGTTCAAAACGTACATTGTATCTTCTGACTCGTTTCCCTTAATTCACGGTAGTTTGAGTGTTTTGAGATCTTTTAGTACATAAAAGTGAACATCCTAAAATCTAACATAAGAACACCTATTTATAGTGTCTTGACCCTAACGGTCCTATTCTAAAATCACGCCACGTTCGAAGCATGCAGGCTTCCTATGTTTACTGACTTCCACGCGTCTTCTAGAATGACGCTTCTATTTGAAATTTGAAACCTGTACCAATCGAAGCATCTTGTTTCTTCGCCGCTTTCGAAATAACCCAATTACCTGGACCGTTTTCAATTCTGGCACCCTTGCATAAAGGAGCTCTTTATAATTCGAACACTAAAAAATCCAAATCCAAATCCACTGGAAATTGAATAATCCTTCAGCATAATGACTCCATATTTCCCACCAATATCCAATATTGATATCAATCTCCTTAGGTACTTTATTCGAAATATTATTTTGATAGTGGTTTCTTCCTTATTTGAAATAGCCAGCTAACAAATTGCCCCTCAAGAACATGTATTTCGATAGATATAAAGAAATACTTGTTTTTGACTCATCCAGGCTATTTCGAGAGTATCAAAAACTCATGATGACCATACTGCACACGATGGCAGAGTAAGTGTCCAACTTTCTGCAAAACGTCCAATCACCATACCAAAACGTGCAATCAGCAGTTATAGCTAATAATTAGCAGCAAAAACATCACTTCCCTAGGAAGCTCAAAAAATCCACCTTTTCTCTTTCCAATGAGGGAGTTACACGTATCCCACCTTTTTCCAAAGGTCAAAAACTATTAAACTGTTGAGGAAGGCTATAAAATACTTCATCTTCTTCATTTCAGCTTTTCCAAACTTGTTCATTCTTCAAACAACCAGATTTCTTGTTTCAGATATCAAAAAAATTTATTTTCACAATGTCTTCGGCGCTACCTTCCACATCCAAGAAGTCTGGAAATTCCAAGCAAACTTCTTCCTCCATCCCTACACCAGCAAGCAAGATCATCAACCTTGATAATCAGGAGTTCATTTCAACCCCTAAACTTACTCAAGAACAAAAAGCTATCTACGCTTCTCAAGTAATTATTCCTACTACTGTTCTTGATAAAACCCTAGGAGTTATGGGTTCTCTAATCTCAACGGATCGTTTAGAAAAAACGAAGGGATTTTTTCCCGCGTATTCAAAAACAAGACCCATTGTTAACAAATCCCTTTCTCCAAAACCTAAGGAAGACGAATCGGTTGTAAAACTGTCCAAAATCTTAAAAGAGAAAACACATGACACAGAAACGTCAAAACCCACGAGGGACGCTTTTTACATGGACTATGTTATTGGGAATTTCAAACCCTTTCGCTCATGTCCCTCATCAGATCAATTATACCAAGACTGGCTTTCGAAAGTTGAACATAAGAAATCCCAGGAATGGGAAAGTATAGGTATCCTAAACCTGATTCGAATGTCAAAATTAGGTTTCAGTTACAGCCAACAGTTTTTGCTAGCCTCTTTATACTAATGGGATAGCACCTATAATACTTTCCATCTCCCTTGTGGAATGCTGACACCTACATTCTTTGATATTGTTGCCATCACTGGACTTTCCCCTATTGGGGAGACTTTCGATCCAAATGAAGATGCGGATAACCTCATTGACTTCGATGTCAAGAATGCCAGTTTTTCAAAATACATCAATCTCTATCACTCTGATGAGGAAGAGGTTTCTGATGTTGAACATATAGCTTTTCTGGCGCTATGGTTATCTAAACATGTCTTCTGCAACAAGTCTCTACAAGTTGCTAGCAGGTTCATCACCCTTGCAAATCAACTTCATCACGGTCAAAGGGTATGCATCAGTGAGTTACTGCTGACAAGCCTATATGAAAGCATAGGTGCTGCAGTTTCGAAACTAAAAACCTATGAATCTGGCACTAACCTGCTTCTTGCTGGCCCCTTTTGGCTGTTGCAGCTTTGGTTAAATGCAACTTTCGAACCATCCCTATCAACCTTTGGGGTAATCAACGAAGAACATCCTAACGTTATAAATCGAAGCATTGAAGGCACTAGGTTGTTAAAACTAACCCCAAACGATGAAAGGGAAAATTTCAAAACATGCTTCGTTAACTATACAATGATTTTCTCCAAAAGACATAGGTTCGATCCTTCAATGGCCCCCTTTGCCAATCGAAACTGTGGTCCAACCTGGTTTACCATTCCCCTTGAACAAGCTATTGAAGAAGAGATAATTAGGGACATTTGGTGTGCCTTTTTAAACCCTAGGCTTATTATTTCT